AATCTCTGTGAGGCCCAGGAACGGGGCCGGGGCTCTGGCTTCCCCTGCTCTGGGCTAGACTCTCCCTTGGCCCAGAGTCAGGCCCTGCCACCCAGCGAGGGGGCCCAAGGTGTCCGGGAGCCCCACCAGGAACTTCTTAGACTCAGGTCCCTGCAAAGCGCACTTCCCCAGTGGGACTTGGGGTGGAGGGGCCCTTTGAAGTGTGCTACTCTGTCACCTCTCCTGCCTGCCACATGTTTGCAATCCCACGGTGACCTGTGTGTCCTGGAAGGAGGGCAGAGCGCTGGTCCCGGGGAGGGGTGGCGCCTCTCCGTCATGGAGCCCCAAGATTGCACACAGCATTTGCCTGTTCCTCCAGAACAGCCCAGGCAGGAAACTAGGTCTCCGTTTGACAGATGAGGAAATGGATGCTCAGAGAGGGGCAAGGACTTGCCCAAGGTCACCCAGCAAAGTGAAGGACTGTCCAGCGTATTTCCAGAAAGGAAGAGCCACGGTCAGAGAAAGCAGGGGGGAAGCTGAGGTGTGCTGATGCGCCAGGACAGGGCCAAGAATGGCTCAGTGGGTTCTTATGACCCCCCACTTCCCTCCCCAAGGGTCAGGGCAGGGAGGCAATGAGCTCTGGGCTGGGCCAGGGCCCTGGGGTCCAGTCCAGCTCTTCCCCACGGCCCAGAAGTCCCCCTGCCCCAGGGCAGCTGGCAAGCCTGCCAATTCCTGGCAGGCCCAGGGATGGGGGGGCCGTTGAAGAACTGTGGTGAGAGGCTGGACTGATTCCTGAACCTTATTGGTTTAGACAGCGAGCCGGGTGATTTTTTTTGGCTGCTTAAATGAATTTTTGGAAAAATAATAATGTTCAAAGAACCTGAGCATTACAGAGCCAGGAGGGACTCTCAATGTCATCCACCCCAGTCCCTTGCCAAGACTTCAATGCTCTACCATGTCTCTCCAGCCAGTGTGCCTACCACCCCTGCTCACACACCTCTCCTGACAGGGAACTCACCACCTGCAGGGGCACCTGTCCATCCTTGAATAACTTTGGCTTTGTAGCAACTATTCCACTAACAAAGCTAGCATCTGCCTCTCTCCTTCTTTCCTTCCTTCATCCCTTTCTCTCTCCTTCCGTTTCTACACAGCCATCGAGTGCCATCTTTGTGTCAGATGAAGACACAAATATGAGCTCATATGACCCTTGCCATGGAGGAGCTCACAGTTCGATAGGAGAGCAGATATGCAGTTCGACAGCCTTGGCGGGTGTTGTGATAGATGCTAAGAAAGCACCAAGAAATCACAGGGGGCTTCCTGAAGGAGTTGTCATCTGAGTTGATCTTCAAAAAATGAGCAGTTAGGGATAAGAGAAGGGAGTTTCCAGGCCTAGCCAGTGGCATGTGTGAAACATCCTATGTATTCTAGAAATGACAAATAGGTTCAGTCTGGTCAGGCCCAGAGTGAGAGATGAGAGATCGGCTGGCAAGGTCCGCAGGGACAGTTCGTGGACAGTGTGGAATGCCAGGCTGAGGGCTCTGGCTCTCATCCCATGCCACCGGAACACTATCACCCACTCCAGTTCTCTTCTCTGCACACACAGGATACCATCAAAGCTGCAATCCCAGATAGAACTTCTCTTGTCCTTCATGGTGTTTTTCATAAGTTTCCCTTTTGGCGGAAGACCTTGCCTTGGGCTCTGTTGTGACAATGGCACGAGACTGGAGACTGGGCAGGTAGGACAGGGCCTGAGCCTCCAGGTTTGCCCAAGTCTGCTGAGGCCAAGAAGTAGATGGCAGAGCGTCCAACGTGAGGAGCAAAGGCAAACTTGCTGCTCAGTACCAGTTTCCGTGTCCTGGACCCCAGCTCTGAATCTCAGAGAGGGAGGGGCCTGGTGGCCCTTTGCAGCCCCTGGCAGCCTGACCCCTGCATCTTCACACACCTTGCCTTTACCTGGCCGTGGGTGTCGGAGCCGCCTGGAGGGGACGAGAAGACACGGCCATGCTGACCAGCCCAGGAGGCTCCTTGGTCGTTGAGTCAGGTCCCCTGAGAGACAGGGCAGCTGGGGCCACCACTAACCTGTTGCCTAACCTTCGGCAGGTCACTTAACCTATCGAGTCTCAGTCCATCCATCTCTGCCTGCCTCAAGGTCAAATGTGGAAGCCCTAAGAGTGCACAATGCTCGCAGAACAACAGGGGCGTTTTATGAGGCTAAGCACATAGAACGTGCTGGAAAAATCGTCAGCAGTGGTGGGCATTTCCAAGTGTGTGATTGCCCAGGGAATGGAGGCTCTCTGGCCCAGCATGAGAGAATGCGTGTGCCCCAGCCATTCGATTTCCATAAATGTGCCTCAGGTCTTCTGGGATATAAACAAGTTCAGTTCATTTCAAACCCTGGCCAGTGGGTGGTCCTCAGAGATCAGGCACTTTGGCTGCAGATGTCTGACCCACGTCGGCTCTGGCTGTCCCGTCGGCACACGTCCACCCACTCCGTTAGGCCATCCATCTTCTTTAAACGCTTCAGTGCTTATTTGAGGGGGAGTTTGGAATCCCCCACTTTGCCCAGAGGAGGGATCTGGGGAAGACTAGGGCTGAATCTGCCGGGTCAGGGGACTGGACCGGATAACCTCTAGGAGCCTAGGACTGCGCTGTTGTCCCTCTCGGTACTGAGTTCCTGTAGGTCAGGAAAGGTGGCCAGATTCAGGCCCAACATGGAGACTGGCACTGTGTGTGCTTGATAATCACACACTGCATTGATTTACCTCTGGCCCCGTGCCTGGCACAGATCTGGGCACGCAGTCAGGTACCTGGACTGTTTACCAAATGCTTCATCTTTAATTAACCTCAAGTTCCATCTCAATACATCGCATGCCACCCTCTGCCCCGAACAGAGGGAAATCTGGCCTGTGTGTTTCTAATTCCTTTACACTTATCTCATCCACATAGTGTTCTGCACGATGTGTTTGATGTCCCCCAGCCGCGGAGCCTGCTGCGTTCGTCTGCTAAGCCCCTTCCTGCTCAGAAGCAGGAAGTCGCATTTCTGCCAAGGGTAAATCCTGGCTGGGGTCAAGTTCAGTTCACAGCACGGTGCCCATGGGGCTGGCTGGACCCCCTGAAGTAGACTCAGGGCTCCTGCCAGGTCTCAAGCTCAAACACATCCATCCGGGGCGGAGCTGAAAAGAATTCAGCTGCCTGCCAAGATGCCAGTGGGGCCTCTGGCCGTCCAATGAGCTGCCCTGAATTCTAAGGCCGAAGGGAGAGAGCTGCCCAGCCGGGCCGATGGTGCAGGGCTGGTCAGTCTGCCAGGCCTGCAGGGGAAGCACCGTGCGGTGACGCCGGACAGCACTGGCCTAGGGGCCAGCAGTCATCCAGCTGTGCATCTTGGGGAAATGCCCCCCTTTCCGGCCTTATTATTACTCTTACAGTTATTAGTATCTGTCAAACGAGGGGTTCTTTCTGCTCTCAGGTTCTAGGATCCTGTCATTGATGAGCCGATCCCCCAATGAGGGTTCGGGGCTGGAAGGCAGCCAAACTGGGTCCTCTGCCTTCTTGGCCACCACCCTGGGGGCAGAGGAGCTCGGTCTGCCTCTCCGAGTTGTAGTGGCCTGACTGCCCCCAATTTGGCTGCCTGCCTGCCTCCCCAGGCTTCCCACAGCTGCCCCCCCCCAGCCCCTAGCCTCTGATTTGGCAGAAAAGCCTCTCATTTGGCTTCAAGATAAGACAAGTCGGGGCACAGGACACGTGGCACACACAAAGAACCCTCTGGCAAGAGTGACCAACATGAGTAACTGTGGCCAAACAGTCTCTGGCAGGAGTGAGAGGCTCGTGCTGGCCCCTTGGGTGAGACCTCCATCCCTGGGGCTTCCCTGCGTAGAGAGAACATGGCAGAACATGATCCGGAGACACGCACCGCTTTGGAATCACACGGATCTGGGGCCATGTCCCGGCTGGGTGACCTTGAGAAAGTCCCTTTACCTCTGTAGGGGGCTGAGTTTCCTCATCTGTGAAATGGGAACAATTGCATCTCATAGAACTGGTGTGAGAATCAGTGATAACGTGAGTGTGCAAAGTGCCTGCCACACAGCAGGCTTTGGCCAAGTGGTGGCTCTCATTACGATTATTATGACCATGGACTCCTAGAGCCGCTGTCCCTAAAACTGCCCCTCTGTGCCCACTCCTGTCCTTCGGCCCAGCTCATTCCATTTGGCCCTGACTTTAGTAGCATCTCCCATTACCCAAGCTGAATTAATGTTATCAGGACAGAGAGGTCTGAATTCACATCCCGGATCTCCCACTTCTGTGGGACCTTGGGCAACCACCTTCCCCTCTTTGGATCTCAGTTTAACCATCAGTCACTTGGGGCTGGGAAGCCACCAGCCCCACATTCCTCCTCCACCCAGTGCTTTGGTCAGAACACTTACCAAGAGCTCCGGAGGCCCGTTCACAGACACCCAGGGTTTACAAAATAGCAGCATTCTCTTTCAGAAAGAATCCTCCCAGCCTGGGATGCACCCAGGGGAGGGAAGGACCATCAGCGTTCACATCTCTGGCTCCCAAATCCAGCTTCACAAAAGCTACACCTGTCTCCCGCCCCTCCCTCTGAGGTCCCCATGGTGAAAGAAGCCCGGAGCCCGGAGGCTTCTCGGACCCAGGAGCACGCCAGTCCAAAGCCACGTCCACACGAGGTCGCAGACGTCCTGACCACCTGGGTTCACCTCCTGGGGTGGCGCTGGGGCCAATTAAGGGGTTACTAATATAGGCCACATAAAAATAGTTTTATCGGTGGAATAAATACACTTTTCTTTTTTAATTGGACACGTATTTTACAAAAGAGCCCCATAGCACTATGGGAAATTAAGATCCTTCTACAAAAAAGAAGATGTAACTTGGGTACAATAAAGCTCTAGTGTTCTAACGGATCCCGTCTGGACTGCCCCTGAGGTGCCAGGCACCCCGGAGGAGGTGGGGTGTGGCCACAGACCCTGCTCCGGCTCCTCTGCTCTCCGCTGGGGCAGTCGCGGTCAGGAGGGCCGGAGGGCGTGCAGCAGGGCGGGGGCAGCGACGCTGACAGCCACCACGGCAGGGAGGAGGCCCCGGGCGGGCTGCGAGCGGGCAGGCGCTGAGCTGCTGGCGGACCCCAGCTCCCCCTGCTGCTGGAGCTGGTCGGAGAGCTGCGAGGGGGGCCCGGCCGTCCCGGAGCTGTGCGTGGGCTGGAGGGGCAGCGGGGCTGGCGAGGCGGTGGTGCTGGAGGAGGAAACACGAAACTGAGAGACCGCTCGGTAGCCCCGTCCTGGGCTATGGCCTTGGGGCTCAGACCTGACTTTATTGGATTATTATTTTTTTCATAAAACGGAGAAGGAAACGGAGGGCTCGGGCGGGGAAAGCGAGCAGCCCAGAAGCACACAGCAGGCCAGCCGAGCTCCCGAGGCCGCAGTCCCCGCCGCTACCGGGCTCGGGGGCCACAGGGCTCGAGTGTGACCACTCGAGGGAACGGGGTCCCAGGCAGAGAGAAATACAGTGTTCTGGAGGGAGCCATCTGGGGTCACAGCCCCCACACCTATGTACACAGACGCCCCGGCCCTCCTACTGCCTTCCCCTCCCCCATCTGAAAGAGACAGGAAATAAAACATACAAGTAACCCCGCCCCCATCTCATCATCCCAGCTGCTATTTATTGAGAGTATCTCACATCACCCCTTCACCAGGCGAGAAAACCGAGGCTCAGAGAGGCTACGAGGTGACCAGGTCCCAGAGGCAGTGGAGGAGCACCTCCATGGGGCAGGGGCCCTAGGGTCAGCATAGCCACAGGGAGTGCCGGTGACAGGTGCAGTCCTCCACGAACTTACAAAGATGGCATCCAGCCCTGGGCGGTGTTGCTCAGTGGTTAGAGCACCAGCACGAGCACCGCGGGGTCTTGGGTTTGATTCCCAGTCGAGGGTCCGTACCTGGGTTGCAGGTTCGATCCCCGGCCCCTGTTGGGGCTCATACAGGAGGCAACAAATTGATGTTCTTGCTCTCCCCCCATCCCTCCCTCTCTCTCTGAAAATCAATGAAAAAAGTATCCTTGGGTGAGTATTAAAAACAAAAGGATCCAGTTTTGGAGGTAATGGTTAAGGCCCTGGCTCAAGAAAGCATATGTGGACAAGAGGGAGGGAGAGAAATGGAGCAGAGGCAGGGAGCGAAGGAGGAAAAGTACAGAAGGGTTGTCCGGCCGAGGCCAGCACTTGGTGCTATCGGGACGCGGAGGGCAGGACGGGGCCAGGCAGGGTGCAGGACCACGACACCAGCTCAAGTCCTAGAAAGAGAGATAGGAAGCGATAACAGAGGGATGGGTGCTGAAGAGGGAGGGGACCTAGACAGAGCTTAAAGGCCACAGGCGGAGGGGGCTCCGGGATAAAGGAAAGGTCTGGGCCCTGGCGGCTATGGGCACGCTCACCCTGTGGAGCCCTGGGCAGCGGGAGGCAGAAGGACAGGCGGAGGACCCAACAAGCCCCATCACACCAGAGGGCCATGGATGGGAGGGAAAATCCAGGGGCAGGGGTCACAGAGGGGCCCCGACCAGCACGGGGCAAGACAGCCTCCCTGAAGAGCTGACCCTCCATGGAGGCATCTTGCACGTGGCTTGCACGTGGCTGAGGGTGCTTCCCTCAGGACGGACAGGCCCTGGCAGAGCAGTGCCCTCCACCCCTCATGACAACACCACGAGGCAGGTATGACTACTACCCCCATTTTACTTAGGAAGAAACCGAGGCCAAAGGGGGTAAGTAACTTGCTCCAGGACACAGGGCAGGGGGCACACAGTAGGTGCTCACTAACATTTGCAGGGTGGGCAGGAAGCTTGCTCCTCTCTGGTGTCTGCACTGTGGGTAGCCCCCTCCATGAGCCCCATTTTCCGGGACTCCCCCTCCCCCCAGACAGGCTGCTATTCCCTGGCCCGAGTTTCCACGTGCTGGGTACAAGGTCCCGACAATTAGCCATAACCACCTGAATGAGCTCTGTCATCGCCGCCACAGCCCAGCCCCACCGTCAGGTGGCTGGACGCCTCTTACACAGCCCGGTTCAGCCTCAGGCTGGGTGGGCAGGGGAGCCTGGGGTCACATGGGCCGGGACCTCTGATCTGGGGGTGGGGTCCAGACAGGTGCTCAAAGCAAAGCCCTCACTCCCTGCCTGGTCCCACCCTCTCTACTCTGCTGCTGGTCATGCTCCGAACACAAGAGCCCGCTGATCCTGCAGGAGGTTCTTCTCAACCCAGAGTCTACGCCCCTCAGTCTTTAGAAATCCCCAGAGGACCTATCAGGAGAGGGGGAGCAAACTCTGGTCAGGCACAGAGGACGGAGGGCACATGCTCCTGGATAGGGTGAGCATGGAACCAGAAGGGAGGGGCAGAGCCGGTGGCTTTGAATGCCCCTCATGACCCATAACATGCGGCCTGTTATGCCTCCCTCCCAGGCCTCAGGCCACTGGGGAGGTGTCACGGTCGGTCGGTCTGGTGCCAGCTGACCTCCCCTTTCCGGGCTCTCCCAGCACACTGACCTCCTCAGTCACATCTCGTGTCCTGTGGCCAGTTTCCCACTCACCATCCAGTGCTGTCCCAATGTCCCCTCGCCTACAGGCCCCTCTGTCCTCCACCCCCCAATCCACCTGGGGGAGTGCAGGCTTCCACAAAACCTTGCACATTGCTCACTGATGGCATCACGTCATGGGCATCCATCTTGGCACGCGAGTTTGAATGGGTTTCTGTGAAGAGCTCTGAAGGATGCCAGGCACAGGGCGCTACGCCGCGCCGGCTATTTTTATATCATTGTTAATATGTGTGCATGTGTCTCCCCACTAGTAACACCCCCTTTGTGGAGCGCTCCCTACATTCTGGCAGACACCGTGCTCGATGCCAGGATGTGCTGCTTGTTATTCCTCCCATTTCCAAGATGAGGAAACGGCTGGAGGAGTTAGGACAGATGTGTCCCGGGCAGTCTGGCTCCCCAGCGTGCCAGGGCCTGGGTGCCCACCTCACTGTGGGGGCACACGTGCGTGATGGCGGGCCCAGGGGCGGAGCCTCTGCTTCCTGCCAGGACCTCGAACACTCGCGCCCAGCAGGGTACCCACCTCGCCCCTTCCCTCCTTCCTTTTCTAATGAAAAGACCCCCACTCTTGCATACGACATGAAAGCCCATGAACGTTCCTTCTAGCTGCTGCCCCGTCCTTTTGGCCTGAGCAGCCGAAGGCTAGGAGGACTAGCCTGAGGAGGAGCCTGGGGTGCTGGGGGTGGGGGCCCCGCTGGCCACAGCCAGCCCCACGGGCCGTCAGAAGGACCACGTAGGAGTTAGGAAAACTGTGTCTCACAAGGCGCTTGAAGGCATTTGCTTTTACACTTTAAAACCGAAGATGCAACCACCCCACTTCCTGCTTGGAGCCTGAGTGGGGTTTATTGCTTGGAAGGCGTCCCAGGGAAATGGGGGGAGGTGGCAGGCGGGGGCAGAAAGCTCCCCACCCCCTTGCTCACAAAGTTTCTCCCCCAGCCCGACCCAGGCCAGGAGAAGTGTCTCATGGCAAAGCGGCCTCCAAGCCAAACCAGACGCTCGGAGTGTCCCAGGCCCGCCGACGGCTGGCGCTGAGAAGCCAGGTCTGCTGAGCCCACAGGGCCTGCAGTGGGGAAGGCCCTCGGCCGGAGGGGAAGGCAGAAGCCCAGGGCCAGCCTGCTACATGTTCCTGCTCGCTGCATGACTCTGCTCCTGTCCTCCGGCCTCAGTTTCCCCTGTGTACCGTGAAGGAGCAGGAACCGCCTGTGGATTTTAAAATATTTTCTAGCAGCAGAAGCCCAAAGCATAAAGGCAGCGTCAGCTCTCTGTCCCCGAGGCCCCTCCCAGGGCTCCCCGGAGCAGGGCCCAGTGGCTTCTGGGAGGCTCCGGGCTGTGGCTTTCCTGCCAACACAGGGCTGCTGGGCTGTGCCTGGTGGCTTCTGAGTGGGCTCCGAGGAGGAACGAGGAGCTGGAGCCGGGGGCAGCAGGGCCCGGGAGACGGCGGCCCTGTGCTGGGCTGGCGTTCTCGGTGATCCGGCTCTCGAGGAGACCCACTGTGTGCCAGCCCGGTCTCAGCCTCTCTGGGCCAGGCCGCCAGACACAGGCAGAGGTCTGGAGTGACTATAAAACTCCTAGAGGAAAACATAGGCAATACACTCTCTGACATTTCTCTTAGTAATACATACATATTTTTTCTGATATATCTCCTTGGGCAAGGGAAACAAAAGAAAGAACAAACAAATGAGACTACAAATTAAAGAGCTTTGCACAGCAAAGGAAATCATCAAAAAAAAAAAAAAAGAAAAGGCAACCCACGGAATGGGAGAATATATTTGCCAAGGATACATCTGATAAGGGGTTAATATCCAAAATTTATAAAGAACTCATAAAACTTGACACCAAAAAACCCCCAATCTAATTAAAAAACGGGCAGAGGACCTGAACAGACACTTCCCCAAAGAGGACATTCAGATGGCCAATAGACATATGAAAAGATGCTCAATGTCACTAATCGTCAGAGAAAATTAAAACCACAATGAGGTATCCCCTCACACCTGCCAGAATGGCCGTCATCATTAACTCAACAAATAACAAATGATGGCGAGGGCGTGGAGAAAAGGGAACCCAGTGCCCTGCTGGTGGGCATGCAGACTGGTGCAGCCACTGTGGAAAACAGTAGAGCTTCCTCAAAGAATTAAAAACAGAACTACCTATGACCCAACAATTCCAACTCTGGGTAATATCCGAAGACATCCAGAACCCTAGTTCTAAGAGATATACGCACCCCTGTGTCCATGCAGTGTTATTTACGACAGCCAAGGTGTGGAAGCAGCCCAAGTGGATAAAGAGGAGGTGGTGCATATATATAATGGAATTTACTCGGCCATAAAAAAGAGTGAAATCTTACCATTATGACAACATGGATGGACCTAGAGGGTATTATGTTAAGTGAAATAAGTCAGACAGAAAGAGACAAATACCATATGAGTTCACTTATATGTGAAATCTAAAGAAGAACATAAATAAACAAACAAACAGACTTGCAGATACAGAGAACAGACTGATAGTTGCCGGGGGGGCGGGGTGGATGGACTGGGTGCACAGGGTGAAGGGATTGAAAAGTACACGTTTGTAGTTACAAAACAGGCACAGGGATGTAGAGTACAGCGCAGGGGATATAGTCAGTGATATAATAACTATGCATGGTGCCAGGTGGGTACTAGAATTATCGAGGGATCACTTCGTAAATTACATAATTGTCTAACCACTGTGTGGTACACCTGAAACTAATATAAAGTCATATTGAATGTCAACTATAATCAAAAAATGAAAAAAAACCCCACAGTGATGGGTTTGCTTGCAGCTCAGCATCCTGGTATCTGAGGTCCACGGCTTTGGCAATGTGGTTTTCTCTGCTGGAAGTCCCTTCCCCCTCCCCCAGCCTCCAGGATGACCTCCGACCCCAGGGCCCTGCCCCCCAGCCCGCACACACTGAATCCCTCTGCAGACAGCCCAGGCGGACTGTGGCTTCAGGGCTCCTTCAGCTGCAACAGTGGCACTGTCCCTGCCCAGCCACGACCTGAGCCTCTTCCCACTCCGCTTCCCACCAGCACTTCGCACAGGCCTGGGCACCCGGTGTGCCAATGCGCTCCCGTTCAGTGGGGTGGAGGGAGATAGTTGGCAGCCCATGCCCGGTGGCTCCTTTAAGGCTGAGCCTGAGATGTGCTGAGGCCCACGAGCCGCTCCGGCTGTGTGTGTGGTGGGGGCACCTCAGACGGGACCCTGAGCGTCAGAGGGTCCCAGTCTGGCCACCAACCCTGAGGACAGCTGCTCCTGAGTGTCGCCAGTGGCCTGATGCTGGTGGCAGGGATCAGAATCCTCTGCTGCCTGAATTCGTCTGTGCTTCATGCACTGAGGGAGCCTGCTTCCCATTTCTCAAGGGGGCATCTTCTACCTTGAAACAGATGGGTTCCTGACCTCCCACAGACATGCCCACGCAGGGGACCCGGGGCCTGGCCCTGCTAGGAGGCAGGGGAGCTGGAGAGCCTCAGGAAAGGAAGGGTCAGCTGGCAGGGGGGGGGTGCAGAGCCGCCCAGAGCCCAGGGGCTGGAACGCTGAAGACGCGCTCGTCTTCAGTTCAGACTTCAGGGGCACTGAGGCGATGACCCCTGTCCTGCACCCCCTGCCCCTATATGGTGGCATCCACAAGACTCTGTGTCTATCACATCCCGAGGCCCCCCTCTGCGCCTTGCTTCGGGCCATGTCCAGGTCTCCCCTGCACGTGCCCCATCACGACTGTCCTTCCAATCCTGGCAGCCCAGCACGCTGCTCCCTTGTTCATCCACCCCTCCACCCCACCACGCACACTCACACACACGTGTGCACACCCTGTGGACGCGGAGAACAGAGTGGCACAACCTCCGAAGACCAGTCCAGGCCCTCACTGCACACAAAGGAGAAAATGAGGATGGCCGCAGGGCCTGCCTCACTGGGGCGGTCCCTGCCCGCTGCCCTCCTGGCCCTCAGATGTGGAGCCCTCTGCCGCCACCGTGCAGCCATCTGCGGACACAGGCCCGGCCCTTTCCGCGGGTCCCCATAAATCATCCTGCCACGGGCTGCTGCTTCTCTAAACTTCCTCCCCTGTGTTTACATTTCGGGTAATGAGGGGCAAGGGGGGCCAGGCTGCTCCAGGTGGTGTCCTGCCCAGGCGCTTGCAGCCTGCACCCCGATCTCTCCCTCCTTCTCTCAGTCCACACCCCCCGGGAGGCCTCCAGGGACCCACAGAGGTCCAGCCCAGATCTGGTCTCCAGGGGCTCGCGGCCTGAAGCACGAGAGGAACTGCAGTCGGAGAGCGATGGCAGGACAGGACGCCCAGGGGCAGCTGCATGGTGGGTGAACCACTGTGACCTTTGGCATTAGACAGACCTGAGTGAGGGTTCTGACTCCATACCTGACGTGCTGCGTGGTCTTGGGCAAGTTACTTGACCTCGCTGAGCCTCGGTTTCCTTGTTTGTCAAACAAGGGCTCCTGGTTGGACTGGGGAACAGAGCAGGAGCTCACAAAGGTCCCCTGGCACCCACCTCAGAAAGACAGAGGCAAAGACAGAAGTGGGGAGAGGGGCAGGCACGGCCTGCTGAGAGGCAGCCTGAGGCCTGGCAAGGACAGGGCCCCCATTATGCCTCGGGAGGAGGGGCGGGAGTAAGGCAGGAAAGGAGGCGACAGACACTGCACCCGGCAGAGTGGCAGAAGTTAACCTGGTGGTGGTGGGAGCGACGGGGAACCTGGAGCTGAGAGTGGGGACACCTGTTAGGGCCCTGCTCAGGACCCCGGTGGAGGAGAGCTGGCGAGGGGGCTGGGAGGAGGCGACGGCTCCAGGGGAATTTAGGGGGAAGAACAGGAGAAAACTCTGAATGGGATTAAAGCCCCAAAGATAATGCTTTAGTTGGCAGGGCTACAGATGGGCCCTAGGGTCTCCCCAGAGAGCTCTTCTCCGCCCCCTCTTGGAGAATTGGGAACTTGGGAACCTGAGGAGGGCAGAGTGAGAACCAGGAGCCACAGGCCCTATGCCGGCACCCAGGCCCCTCTGGAGCCGGGGCTGCTTCCTGAGAAGCGGTGGGGACTGTCAACAAACAGGCTCCTGTTGGTGGGAACGTCCTCCAGCCCAGCCAGATGGGAGAGCTACCCGACCTTAATTAACTGTTGGGATGGAGAAGGATTCCTTCCTGCCAAAGAAAAGCTGTTTTCTTCTCCTGAAACCAGGCTCTGTGTTTCAGAGCCATGTTGTGAAAAGGAAACTGTTTTGGAGTCATTTGCCCACATTTACCTTTCAGATATGGTTAGGGGTTGGGGTCTGTGGCTGCGGCTGACCGCCAGCCTCCTGTCACCCTGTGGGCTGGACCCGCCACCGCTGGGTCTCCCGGCCACCCGGCAGGTTGATCAGGGCCGAGTGACCTGCTGGATGGAAGCAGTTTGTGGGCGGCCGGCGCCTCGGGGCAGCCTGCGGCCCTCCCACTCCGCGCCCTCGCCCCGGGTCGGAAGGGGCGGCCACGCTGGGCACTGAGCCAAAGGCAGTGGTCAGTGTGGCTGCCGTGGTGTCTGCCTGGGGCCGGGCTGGCCGGGGCGCTGCAGACCCATTTCCCAGGAACCCAAGGCGGGCGCCCTAAGCCGGCACACAGCCGAAGGAACACGGACGGCACTTATTTGTGGGGTCTCTTTAAGGTCGCGCCCACCCTGCCCTCTGAGAGTGGACCGGAGAACCTTCTGTGGGCAACTCAGACACCGGCTGCAGGAAGGGCAAGCCCGAACACAAGGGCGGCTCCTGGCTTCTGTGCGGCCCTGACGAGCCCCCGCCGGGCCCCTCGACCTCTGTAAATGCAGAGTGGGGGCCTGCGCTTCCCAGCTCCCTGCTCACAGCACACGGCTCCGGGCCCCTGCAGGGCTGACCCAGGGGCTCTGCCCTGGCGTCTGGGAATTTGTCTAGCGAGTGCCCAGCGTGATTCTTCCTGGGGATGCTGAGGAAATCCCCGATGATCTGCAGGGCCAGATGCAGACTCTGTCTCCGAGGGCCCACTGCTGGGCTCCCACAGGGAGCCTGTCACCGAGGGTCACTTCCTGGGACATCTCAGGTGCTCTGGTGATGCTGCTCACCAAATACGGGGATTCTTGCCCCCAAGTGGAATCTAGGGAGACTGCTCTGTCCTGAGCCTGCAGCAGAGGTTTGGTGACAGCATGCTGGGTACCGCAGGAGCTTTGGTGACAGACAGGCGAGGAGGGGTGAGAGGCGCACAGGCGGAGGACAGGGAGGTATCAGCATAGTAGGGTGATGTCTGCACCTGCCCACTTTCAACAAGGTTCACCTGAACCCCCCCTCCCCTGCTGAGACCGAGCCCCCAGCATCAGGGCGTCAGGCGTCCTCTGCCACCTCTCTCCTGCCCAGCGGGGTCCCCTCTGCAGCCTCCCTGCAGGGTGTCAGCCACTCGGGCCTCCAGCACAGGGAGCGCAGCCCTTTGATGAAGCAGCCTGCTCCATCTTCCCTGCTCAGATGGCCTGCTCTGCACACCAGGTGCGTCCCAGCAAATTAAGGGCAAAGCAGACTTTTGTCCACGGCACTTGAAGGACGCTTCTATTCCCTCACCTTCAAAATGGAGAAAATTATACTTGCTCTCATTCTGAGAATAAAAATTAAAAATGAGAAGCGAGTGTGCTCTGTAAACCCTGGAAGATGAAGAGGAGGGTCCTCTGTGAATGGGGACACGCCAGCCCCGAGGTTTCTGCTGGCCACTCACCTGCCAGCTTCCTCAGAGCAGGGCTTGCAGAAGACAGAGTGCGCGTCCTGGGGGCCAAGCGAGGCGCCCGGGAGAGACGCCCGCTCCCGGAACTGCCCCCCGCCCAGCTCACCTGTCCTCGATGCGGACCCAGAGGTCATTGAACTGCCGTGGCCGCTGGTGCTTGTTCTGCCTCTTGTGCCACTTCTTCTGCCGCCCAAACTCCTCCAGCTGGCTCAGGCTGTCGGGCAGCAGGAGGTGTGGGGACAGGGCTGGGTCCTCCTCCTCGAGCGGCGTGGTGGGGGTCACCGAGGGCGCTGCGGGGATGGCAGCAGCTGGGGTCACTGGGGCTGGGCTCTCTGAGGTCCCCTTGGATGGGGGCGCGGGGCTCCTGGCGGCAGGGCTGCAAGGGTGACAGCTCGTGAGGCACACGTGTTGCAGCGTGTCAGTCATGGGCGACAGGGGTGCAATTCAGTGGGAGGGGTGTCGTGGCAAGAGAAGATGCCAGGGCGCCCCTGCTGGGTCCGGCGAGGGAAACCATTGTCTGGTGCTGATTTAGTGATTCGATAGATACTGAGCATCTCCCTTGCACCAGGCGCTGTTCTAGGAACTGGGCAGAAGCAGTGACCACAACGGAGTCCTGCCCTCTTAGGGCGCACAGTCTGAAGCAGAACATGCAGAGTAACGTACGGGATGTCAGAGGCATGACTCTGGGAGACAGGCAGAGACAGGAGAGGGCCGGGGGGTGGGGTGCTGGGCAGGAGAGTGGTCTGCTCACTGCTGCTGATGCGGGGGGCGGTCTGAGCTCAGCCGGCCGGGAGGTGAGGGAGTGAGCCCTGTCCCTGGTTCTGGGTCTCGTTCACGCAACAAGCTCTGGCTGAGGGACTTGGGATGGGTTACCAGCTTCGCTGTGCCCCTGTCTCCTGCACTGTGAAGTGGGATATTTTCAAGTGCTGTCCCTCGTAGGGGAATCATTAGGATTATGTCGGTTAACTTGGAACAGGGCCTGGCAAACAGCAAGCAGCTGAAACATTTTAGTAATTAATATTATTAATTAAATATTAACATTGCTGCTTGTGTCATTCAGCCAACTATCCATCCATGCATTTGACACACATTTACTGAGCACTCTGCAGGGAGGCGGGACAGTGTTCGGCAGACGAGGGATCGTGCTGGGCAGACGGTGCACACCTGGCTCTGCAGCCCACGGGCAGTGTGACGGAGGACAGGTGACACACCGTGCAGCAGCAGTTAGCTGTAAGACGGCAGTGATGCTCCTTCCTTCCCGCGATGGGGAGTGTCTGACACGTACAAGCCTCTCTGTAACGCTGGCCAGCAAGCAAACAGACCCGCTGTCCTGGAGCCAAAGTGCCCTTCCGGGTGTGTGTGTAATTCACCTTCCACACGGAAGTGTATGCAGACACCCCTTAGCCTGGGAACATCCTCTGCTCCTCTGCTTTTATCCTCTCCAGTCTGTGGCCCAAATGGAATTCCTTCGGGGCCATCGTCCCTGGGAGAAGGTTGGCTGTGGCTTTGGGAACACAAAGGTAAGGGGGCGCCCAAGGCAGCGCGGCCTGTACCTTCGCTGCACGCCCGCGGGCACAGGGGTGAGGGGAGAGAAGGCCATCAGCTCAGCCTATCCACCCCCAGCCCCCACGGCAGCTCCCGATTCCCAGGGTCCAGGAGATGCCGCAGATGTTGGGGAGATAATTCAAAACAGGCAGACAAAAAGATGGATCCAGGAAGCACCTGTGGCCAATGATGGCTTTTATTGTTGGGGCCTCCTCGGCATCCCTGCTCCCTCACTCCACCCGCAGGATGTCAGCCTGCACTCGGAGACTTGGGTGAGAGCCCTCGGAGCAGGGGGGGGGGGGGCTCTGGAGGAAGAGGAGCCAAGGCAGCCTCTCCAGCCTGCCTCCTCCCCACCCCACCCTGCCTGGGACAGACACAATGAGCTTCAGGTGAAGGTCCTTGGGGCTGCGCAGGGCAGCCCGAGGATGCTGTGTCCCCAAGGCCACCTTGTCCCTCCCTCAAACGCATGCAACCCCATGTGATCTGGGCGCGTTCAGACGTTCAGAGCAGCAGCCTTGTCAGGTTGGCTCAGATGAGAAGAGGGAGGAGTCTACTGAGACGGTCTCGAGTTCTCCCAGCAGGGCCACGGAGACAGGAACAAGGGCCCTGAGCGGGAGACCGAGGCTCCGCGCCCTGGGGAGCCCAGGCTCCCTCTCCCCAGAGCACAGAGCAGGCCGCGCCATCCCCCCTGGGCTCCCCCAGGCTCCCCGATCGGGCACAGGGATTGGTTAGGAGCCAAGGGAGGCCCTAGACCAACATTTACGTGAGCTGTGTGTCCTCTTGCAGGTGACGTGGCCTCTCTGGGCCTCAGGTTCCTCAATTTTAAGATGAGGGTACTCCACACGATTGTTGTGAGGGCTGCTAGTTAGAAGTGTGTGGAGCCTGGTGCACTGAGCGCTGTTACAGTATCAGTATGATGACTCGGGCTTCTTTCAGACTCTGGGTCTTGTAAGGTTAGGGACAGGGGCCCAGACCACACCGTGGTCGCCTGGTGGACTGGTGAGGACGGTTCTTCCACAAAGGCTGGGCAGAGCATGGGCTGTGGGGACCCGCCCTGAGTCCGAGGCCCCTGTGAGTGGCCCCTGGAGCTGCCGACACGCAGACACCTCTGCTGTTCCAGGCCTGGTGCTGGCACCATGGGCCACACATGGGCTCCGCTGCCCCTGCCCCCGGCAGCTCCAGGAGGGGCCCCCACAGGAGAGGCCGGCCGTCGCGTGGCTCGCTGAGCAGAGTGGGTGGCTCGAGCTGCACAGTCGAGGGGGAGAGGCCCGGCCAGGAGGCAGCAGTGGGGAAAGTGATCAGGGGAAGGTGAGGACCAGCTGTGGTGGGGCTGGGACACTGCGCAGAGGCCAGGCCACGACTCATCCTGACTTGGCCCCATCTCAGTTCAGGGCCCCAGCATCCCCCAGACCTCTAGGCAGCCACCCAGGAGTCCGCAGATCACCAGACTCTAAACCCTCATCCGCTCTCAAAACAGCTCTGCCCCCGCCCCCACCAGGGCCCGGCCACCCTCGCCTCCTGCAGCACTGTGCTCAGCCTCCCCGCCTCCAGCCTCCCTCCTCGCTTGGGGGTCTGGCCAAGGCTGGTCCCCGCGAGGCCCCAGCTCACCAGAGGCCCTTCACAGCCCTCGCCCCAGGCGTGAGCAGGAGGCCGGGCGGACCAGCCGTGCAGCCCGCGGTCAGGCCGGCCCGTCCGCAGACACCCCGGCTGCTCACCTGGGTATGGCCTGCCCTGCGGGCGTGTGTTCCACCTCCAGCCCCGCCTGCCGAAGGACGTCAATGACTGTATTGTTCCCCAGAAAGTGACCTGGAACACAAGAGACAAAGTAGGCTCAGCCACATGCCAGGACACCGGCAGCTGGGGACAGCCCCAGGCCAGCGACCTGCTCCAGAGCTGAGCCCCCAGCCGTGAGCTGCACTGGTGCCACCTGCCCGGGTCCAGGTCCTGGCTCTGCTGCTCACTGGCTGTGCCCTCCGTGCCTCAGTTTCCCCTGTCAAGTGGGAATGACTGTAACAGCCCCTCCAGAGTGGCTGTGAGGACCGCGGGAACAGGGCTGGCACGCCGCGAAGGCTCCGTGCTTCCTGTGGCGTCCTGTGCCGTGTACCACGGTGCCACCTGCCGTGAGGCCGGCCCGCCTGACCGCCCAGGGGGGACAGCCTTCGGCACTCCGTCAGTGGGGGACCTTGTGAGGCACCCGCTCTGTGGGCAGCCTGGTGTTAGACACGAAGAACACAGGCACGCAGCATGTAACCCACCGCCCCGATGCCAGCGGGAACCCTCCTCGGGGGTGCAGGCTGAGCTCAGACGCAGGGAAGGCTCCCGCAGAGGAGGTGAGAACGGGTCTTCTGGAGGCAAGTGACCGTGGAGACAGTGGCTGCTGGGAGCCACACCCTGTCGAGCCCCTCCTGCCCCCTGGGCCCAGTCTCCCCACCTGGTCGGGATGGGCAGAGTGGCGGTGGCCCCTGACACCCCCTCACCCATGTGCCTGCCCTGGGGCCCACCCCCATGGGTGGCTCCCTCCTGCTCACCAATCTCTCCAGAACCTGGGGGAAATCCCTGCAGTTATTGTAATTGTCTGTGACGGGTGGTGACAGGTGGGAAGCCGGAAGGTCAGCATGTTGACAGCCCCAGGGAGGTCTGAGCACAGGGAGTGGACAGGCTGTTGGGGAATGGAGACTCCGGCACAGGGGAAGCCCGGCTGGGGTGGAGGAGAGGGCGAAACCCACAGCCCGTCACCGGCCAGCCCTGCACACGCCCCTCTGGCTTCACCAGTCCCCTGCAGCCTGCCGCCGTCCCTGAAACCCACCTCTGGCTCACTGCATACGATCACTGGGCTGGGAGCAGGAGACAGGTTCGAGTCCTGGTCACACCACACTGGAGACCTTGGGCAAACCCATGATGCTGGAATGCCCTGCTTCTCTCGTACAAGGGTGTGGGCTGCACAATGTCCATGGGCTCTCCATGGCGGGGGCTTTGTTTGACTTCAGAGACTTTCACGGAAAGGTGTTCTCCCTCCCTATCTCCGCCCATCCAGCTGACAGACACGGAGGGAGTGCATCCCTGCGCTGGGCAGTGTGAGCAGGCAGGGCCTGTGCCAGGCACTCACAGTCTCGAGAATCAGGCTCTTTGGATCCAGGCACTACTGCTATGCTGAAGGAAGCACACAGGAGGCATCAATCCAGCCTGGGACCGGGGCAGACTTCCTGGAGGTGGCGTTACTAGCTGAAGGATGGGACAAGAGCCAGCTCGGTGAGGATGAAGCGGGGTGGCGCCGAGGAAAGGGTGCTCCAGGGAGGCGGCGGGGCACGTGCACAGACCAGTAGGTCAGCGAGGCACTTGTGGGGAGCCAGCTGCCGAATGGTGTGAGCCCTCCCGGGCTCTGGCCCTGACCAGTGCTGTTGAGGACAGAAGACCCAGGTCCCTGTCAAGGCGGGCGAGTCTCCACTCTGCAACCCTGAGCCAGTGGCTCCTCTGTCCCCAGCCTCCCCCAGCACGCCGCCCTTTGGACCACCATGAGGGCAGCTACAAAGCCCCAGGGAGGCAGGAGGAGTGAATGTTCTTCGGAAAAGCCCAGCCTGAACTCCTGACTGATGGGCCAAGCCGGCCCCTGGCTGAGGCCGCAGAGTCACCCTCAGTCTTGTGTGTCCCTGAGCGTGACTGGGCGGGAAGGGGACCGGGCATGAGCCTGCAGTGCACAGGCTGCAGCTCCTGCCAGAGCCTTGGAATCCGTTCCTGGCAGCAAAGCCCATTCCTTCCCTGCCACCATGGAGACCCGTTCAGAGACGAGGGCTTCTAGGCCCAACAGTGGTCTGCCCAGAGGATTCCCAGCGTCGCCAGGACAAACAGCGCCTCAGGCTGCACAGGGGCCGCCGTGAGCATTCACCGGGGGCCTTGTGGCCGCTCCGAAGGGCATTCCTGGGGCTGCGCAGGGAGGTTCGCAGGCTGGGTCCTACAGGGCGCCACTGGATGCTGAGCATTTCCCGGTGACGATTCAGTGGCGGGTCAGGGCCCTGTCCATTCCCTCCACCTCAGCGATCTCAGGCCCTTATGGTGCAGTTTAAGACCCTAAACAGAAGACTTCAGATATTCTGAGGTGTTGGAAGCAACCAGGAAAGATGTTTTCAAATTGCCATCCCTCCTTCTCTACGCTACCTTCACTGTCACCCGCTTCCCTCCAGGACAGGGGACAGTGCCCTTGGCCCCCCTGCCCGAGGCTGCCCCTCCCACAGCTCCAGGAGGCCCTCCCCACGCAGGCCACGCCCCAGACCGCGTGCGCAAGCCAACACTCCTGAGCCCGCGCTCCCGGCACCCGGCACCCTCTCTGGGACCACACGACACCATTCAGACCTGGTTCACGCTCCTCTCACTACCCCGTCCTCCTCCTGCTCCGTAAAGGTAGGGCCCTGGAACGCTGTCCGCAGCCCTCATTTCTCCTCACTCCACACAGCGTGTGGACAAATAAATCATCTACCACGCGGCTTCAGTTACCATACCGTGCTGACCACTCTGGAGCTGCAGCCCCGGCTCAGACCCATCTGTCAGTGGCCTGCTGGACATCTGCACCTAATGCCCCCAGCGCCCACTCGACCCAGCCCGTCTCCCCTCCTAGGATGGGCCTCATGAGCTCTGCTCCCAGTCGGATGGGCCGTGTTGACTCTTTTCTCTCCTTCCTCCTCCTCATCCATTCAGTCATCAGAATCCCCCTCATTTTACCTCCTAACCATGCACGATGCTGGCCCAGGTCACCACACCTTCTGCTAAAATCGCTGCCAATGCCATCTGCCCTTGTGCCCTGCAGGTCACCTTCCCACACCCCAGGGCTGCCTGCGCCGGAGCATGTTCCCAACAAGCCGGTCGATGGGAGACTGAGCTTCTCAAGGACTGGGGACAAGCCTGATCCCTCTTTGACCCAGGGCCGAGCCCCAGTCTGGCGCACAGTGGTGGCTTCAGGATTGTTGAATGAATGAGTGACAAAGCTACTACATATCCTCTTCATGATCTCACCCAATCCAAGGAGGCCTGAGCTTAGGCCCGCCCCCTCACCCCCACCATTCGCATTGCTCATGCAGATCCCACCGATCCCAGGAGCTGGCTCTGGACCTGCCTCTGAGCCGGCACCCAGCCATGTTGCCCGGGGGCTGGCACGTGGGGCCTGCGCTGGCCTCCGAGAGCGAGAGCGAGATGGGCAATCCTGCGACGGGGCCACACCCATCCTGGAGCCTGCAGGAAGGTGTGGGAAGTTTCCAAAGGGGCCCCAGGGTTGGGGTTCCGCCTGCGTGGCTTGCCCGGGCTCCCAGGGTCTCCTGGCCACCGCTCAGCGGCTCCTTCCAGCACTGACAGCTGCGCTCTGGCCAGCTCTCTGCAGGAAGGCACGTTCCCCTCCATCTGCTGAGGCCGCAGGGATGAGGAGAGGGGGGGAGGGCCCACCGCGGGGGGCGGGGGGGGCGCGCACAGAGAGGCAGGGCACAGGAACCTCCAGGACAGAGCATGGACAGCAGGAGAGAGGGCCAGACACCGGCAGCGAGAGACACACAGCGCACGGCGACGACAGGGAGAGGAGAGACAGAGACAGAGACGAGGGAGGGCGTGAGATACAGACAGAGAGGAAAGGAGAGAAAGGGCGAAGGAGGAGAGAGGAGGAAGAGAACTTCGAAATGGAAACCCGGGGCATGGCGGGGGGGGGGGAGACCGAGCCTTTGAGGACATCAGGGGTGGCTTCCTGGAGGAGGGGCCCATCAGCCAGGACTCCCAGGATGGGCAGGGCGCAGAGGGAGAGGTAAGGGTCAAGGGCCTGGAGGAAGAGGACGGGTCTTGAGAACGGCGGGGCTGGCATGGTGTCGCCTCCCCTGACCCTGGAAGCCGGGGTTCCACCTCCGGGCATTCCGTACCAACAGGAGGGCGTCCGCGGGGCCAGCACCCCTCCCCCAGCTTCCGTGCCGAGAACAGGGCTCCTCTTCTGGGCCCGAGCAGGGCTGTGCCAGGGCACAAGGCTCAGTGAACAGAGCCAGGCCGGGCACAGCCCCACAGCCCCGTTCAGCCTCCAGCACAGAAAGGCAGGATGGGACAGGCAGAGTCCCACCCTGGGGTTAGGCAGAAAGCCTGGCTCAGTAGCCACGGGCTGTGTGGCCTCCGGCAGCTTTCTTGCCTGCGGTGCCTCCGTTTCCCTATATGGTCCGGAGGTCCTCCCACCTCTCTGACTTTGTCACCTGATAACTGGAACACAAATTCCTATTTCGTGAGCCTTCGGGGTACAGGAGGCTTTCCCAGTGTTATTTCCCTCCGCCCTCAGCTCAGGAGGGGACGGGGCTCAGGGAGGGGACGGCACTCGCCCAGGCCACAGCCGGTGAGGGGTGAGGGCGAAGAGAAGCCTCACTCCCGCGCCCTGCACGCCCACTGGGGCTCTGGCGGCTGCGCGGGATCCTGAGCGCGTGTTCTGGGGGCAGGACATTGTCAGAAACATGTGTACCTTCCAAGGTTCACCAGATTGGAGGGAAAGCTCGGGAGTGCTTAGCAAGAACAACCTGCCAATTAACAGGGTAATTTCAAGACGGTGTTGGGGGGCCGGTGGAGGGGAGGACGGGAGGACCAGATGTTCCCACAAAAGCTCCAAAGTAGCAGGGGCTCCCCTCGGCCAGCACACGTTTCCTCTCCTGTGAGTCCTGGTTTCCAGTGTTCTCCTCCTGGAAGAGGGACCCCAAGCCCATATTTATGTTCCGTCTGAAATTAATGCAAGGGGAACTTTCAAATGCTAATCTGGCTGCCAGGAGCAGCAGCCAGATATCAAGCGACAGGGGTGTTTGTTTTCG